TGTTATGAATGTCTGACTAATGAATACTAACTACACAAAAGGTATATTTTGAGGAAATAATATTATGAGACTTCTTAAGCTGCTAAACATTACGAGAAAGAATTACGAGTTTCGCAGAATCATCATTTTCGTTTATATTGAGACCCGATTTGCTCTGTGGAGTGGTCCAAATAAATATTACCTTCAAACCTGAATCGAAAGGAAAAAAAAGGTATTTTCATGTGCCAATTGTTATCATTACATTTTTTTGTTTTAAGGAAGAAAATAAGTTTTGAACTTTCCCATTGATGAAAATAGGAAATTTCAAGGTGGCAGCTGTCGTATGACGAAATGGGAAGGTAGGCACCGATGGGAATGCTAAAAAAATATTTTCTTCCTTAAAACAAAAAATTCAATGATAGTATATGAAAAGAAGTGTTCATTTGCTTTGAATTTATGTATAAAGGTAATTTTAAGTTAAGCCACCACATAGCGTAAATCGCATCTGGATATTATCAAAAATTACGATTTTGTAGAATTTATGATTTTTCCTCATAAAGTTTACCAGCTTGATAAGTCTCAAATATTTTTTTCTCAAAATATACCTTGCATGGAGTAGGTATTCACTACACAGACATTCATACAAACTGCAGTATTGCAATAAAGAAATTGCAAACATAGCACATTTTGGATAAATTCTTAGAAGCATATCTGCCAGTATAGTTGCAATAATATTACTGAGCTTCAAACACTTTACACAAGAACCTTTACTCAACATGTAGACCAAGTTTGGTATAGAACGTACTTTTAAAATAAATTTTTTCACACACACCTAAACGACATCCCGGAAAGTTCCGACGGCAACCTTGCGACCCAACATTTTTTTTCTCCGAAATATCCTACCGTTTCACTGCTTTCAATACAGTTAATCAGCACAATATTTTTTTAATGCATTTGAGATGGTCGCCAAAACGGCTGGGCGTTTAGCATGAAATCACCTTAACAGTGTGCCATGAACACAGAAAAAGGTCCTATGCTTATTAAGCCCTTTATTTACCAAAAAATATACTGAAAGTGCCTCCTATGAGGCACTATAGTGCCGCTTTTTTCACAGTTCTAAGGGAACTACCTGCACGTGCTATTGTTGTTTACATGTGCAGCAGTAGCATCAATATGTAGTAGAACTTGCTGTTGGGATAGTTGGTGCATGTTTGCATTAAATATTAGTCAATTTTGCGTCAAAATGACGACCACACAAACGAAGAAAACACATAAACGGATTGGGCACTCATTTGCAATTGTTGATTTCTTGAGGAAATAGGCTGATATAAACCCACTTTTTGTCAACGCTTGTGCAACCTACTCGGGCCGTCCCTTACCTAATCACGCTATAGGACACATGATCGCTAGATACCGTGCTTCCAGCTCATACATGATGAGTGAAGTTTTGCTAACGTAATTGATACCCCTTTTCTTTTGTGAAAGCCCATCAAAGTGGCTCTTGGTGTGAATCCACATGAAGTGACTTGTGCTCTTGAACGGGCTTCGTCGTTATTCTTTGCCGTAAGGGCGTGTTCCCTCGCTCGATCATTGACGCAGCGCCTTGTCGTCTGGCTAACATGCGTCTTTCTGCACGATAGGGGTATTTTGTAAACCACTTCAGTGGCAGACTTCGTGAATGGCCAGGCATGCTTCTTTTTACAGCCTTTCAGCTGCTCAGCTTGATTTTCAGCGATGCACCGGCGCAATTTTCTAGTTTGTTAGGGGCACGAACACAATCAGTACTTGATGCCGGCTCGCCACCTTTTTAAGGTTGTGCGTATGAATATATAGTATATTATGAATATAAGGTACAAACAACTGCTAGTGAGCACCCGTCCTGTTCATGTGTTTTCTTTGTGCGGTCGTGGTTTTGACGTGAAATTCACTATTGAATTCAGGCATTCATGTGTATTCACAGCACATGTTTAATGTCTGTAGCAAAATATTACATGATATTTTCGTATTCATATTTGCATGTTCAAGAGAACAGCAGCCGTGCCAATTGTGTCAATTGGATACAATTTCCTAATTTTGCACAAAACCATTATGAAATGCCCAACCAACCTCAATTATTTCTCAGTATTGTTAATTTTATCAAAAAACATAAGATCCATTATTCAACTTAAGTTTGCGCATCACCATCCAATTGATTTATGTGTGCAGTTTAATGTCCTAAAGCCACCATTTGATTATGAGACGCTTTAGGGGAGGGGTCCAGAAATTTTGGCCGTCTGGGGTTCTTGTGCTCCCAAATCTAAGGAAATGGGCCTACAGCATTTCCGCCTGCATGAAAAATGCAGCTGAGTACTTTGGCGACTAAACCATCGAGGCGGGGTCATCATCATCCAATCTAATACAGATGTGCCAACCGTAATTATAACTTTTAATTGACTATATTCTAACCTCGCAGCAAAAGAAAAGAGTAGAACGGTTTAAAAGAAATTTCTACCCCCCCCCCTTTCTATGACGTCCATAACGCTTTTTAAGTCGCTTTTGCCAGAATACGCTTTGGCTCTGCGGAAAAGTGCTTTTTGATTTACAGGACACAAAATATTTTTCTCCCTATATTACTCTGCCATGCAGATGCCATTCAATAACGAGTACTAGTATAAGTGCTGGCCGTCTTTTAGAGTGATTTATGAGGTTTTTGCAGCCTTAAGCGACGATAAAGAAAATCATATACCACTTTTTTTCTTTTCGCCACCCCCTTGAGCTCCTCCTTTACGAATATCTGGAATTTCTGGGTCGCCTGTCAAACAGTTGGACAAGCTCACCAAATGCTACTGCGAGTTTTACACCCGTATTTTAGAACGTCCCTTCACTAAATGCTTCACCTTGACTTCAGAAAATTGATTCCAGCGCAGTCTCTAGGCAGAGCAAGTCACTCAATATCAGGGATAATCTGCTGCGATTCTCAAGAAACGCAGCGTCATTTTTAGACAAGCGGTGGCACTGTGCTCAGCTAGTACAAGTGAAGGATGAGATTCGAGTCGAGGAGCATTCGTATATAGGGAGGATAGCATTGTTTGCACTGTGGGACAGTTCAAGAGTGCTTTTGTTGAAATAGCTGCACTCTCGTGTATTTTGAATGAATTAGCGTATGTCAAATAATTTCTACATATACTTTTTTGTGTGTGTGATTCAGTATAATTTGTTGTACTACTGTAAATTTGGAGCCCCACCGAGGTGGTCTAGGGGCTATGGTACTCGGCTGCTGACCCCCAGGTCGTGGGATCGAATCATGGCTGCGGTGTCTGCACTTCCGATGGAGGCAGAAACGCATTAGGCCCGTGTGCTCAGATTTGGGTGCACGTTAAAGAACCCCAGGTGTTTAAAATTTCCGGAGCCCTCCACTACGACGTTTCTCATAACCATATGGTGGTTTGGGGACGTTAAACTGCACATATCAATCAATGCTGTAAATTTAAAATTTCAAGCTCAAAAATGTTGTGTTTGTTTTTCCTGAAACCTGCTCCAAATTTAGATTTTCTCCCTAGAAAAGCAAGATATGATGCTCCAAAATATTGCTCCAGATGATAGCTTGGCTGCTCCACCTCTGCTAGCTGTAAGTGGTTACTCTTTCACCCTGCTTTTGTGTGCCCATTTTATGTTCTTTGATGTTGCATTGTTTCAGGGGGACATATTATGTGATGCGCTTGATATTTTACATCTTTAAATCAATTCTGCGTGGTTAGTATCTAGTGACACTGTTAAGCTATTGTAATTTTGCCTATTGTTTTCACTCCTGTATTATTGTTTCCCCAGTATTCTGAATGTCTGAACACACAAGGGTTATTGTGAAATGAAAATGCCATTTTAAGACTGTTTTGTCATTACATTCATTAGAATACCACTAGCCTTGCATAATATGCATAAGGCATGCCACAACACACATGTAAACTGTGGCGTATCATTGTGGTAATTGTAGTGTGCATTGATATATTATTTTTTAAGTGCAAATAAAGGCTCTTTTGTTGTATTTGATATGCATGCATTGGTCGATAGAGCTCCATGCCGTACCATTGACGTCTGATTTCCGGTCTTCTTTTGTAGCAAATGGCATTCTGCTTTGAACAATTGAAAAAGGCTTTTGATTAAGGTACAATTTGTCTCTGAATCCTGTATGTTCTCTGTGTCTAATAAAATAAAGCTTGATTTCATTTTGCACAATGGCATGACTTTGTGATTGTTGTGTTGTGTGTGGCAGCTCATTTTGAGTGATGCCTTTGCATTAAGCTAGGATTACGTGTTATATGCCGTGCTTCATATATGCACCATAAAAGCTGTGCTAAGGCCAGGATTACCACACTGTGGCAGGAGCCACTACAATAGGACATCTGCACATGAAAGGTCTAGCTAAAGGGTAAGCTTTCACGTGCTTCCACAGGGGGTTACTGGAAAGGGGTAACTTTCGAATTATGGTATTTTTTGCATGGGTGTTGGGGCATTATTCAGCATGAACACCCTCGCACCCTTTTTGCTGTTTGTACAATTACACCCCTACACTACTTTTGGTTTTTAAGGGTGTTAGGGTGTCATAGCAATATTACACCCTTACGCCCTTAAGATTACTTGGGTACATTCGCTTTTACACCCTCACTCCCTTAAGGCCACTTGGGTGTACATTTGTCTTTCCACCCCAAGAAATGTTTGTGCCATAGGGTGTAAATTCGGAAATCCGCCCCACGATATAGGTGTAGCCCTGCTTTATACACCCATTTCGTGGGGTGTTGGGGTGTGAGTTATAGACACTATAAAACACCTATATGGGTGTAATTTGGTTTACAGTGCACCTAGTAGCACTTTAACATGAAACAGTAACGGGCGAAGCGCTCAACGCAATCGCGATAGAATGGCAACCCAACGAAATGTGCAAGATACATCCACACAGACACGAGCCATGTATACGCTTCCCACACATTCGGCGTCGTTGTTTTCAAGTCACCATGAGGAAAACTGGTGAGTAGCTGACAATTATAATGTGTGTATACCACAGTTTCATTCCGGGATCCTTTCCAAATCGACTTCAGCTGGTGTTACGCGATACAAAAGTAACTCTTTTTACGCGCGTACTAGCGCAAGACACAAATGGCAATAACATAAATATTTAGTATCAGCGACTTAAAAAAAAATACAGATGATAAACGACACGCTCATCTACACACAGTGAAGGATGCGCTGTGTATCACCCATACAAAAAACATTCAAAGAAAAAAAACGAATAACGGCAAAAAAAGAAAAACCCACGACAGAAACGCTAAAAGTACTGTACAATGGCATACACAAAGACCTCGCAATAACATGGCTTTTCTATCACAGAGCGGCGTTCCTGTCTAAACTGTCGTCACAAAAGGCACCGCCGTGAGATGCGCACGGCCGAAGGGAATTTGTGGCCGGCAAGGTGTCGGCCAGGCGCATCTATAGCCTCGACTCGGGGGCAGACATACGCCATCGACAGGCCACTTCATCAGCTCTTGCACTCGCTTCCCCCCCGGCAGGCCCGAAAGGGCACGGATCGAAGCCAGCATCGCAAAGCGCAAGAAGGCGCGCGCTTTCCGATGAGCTCTCTCTCGTTGGCGAAGAAGACGAGAAGGGAGACTATCCAGCGTCTCAAGGCATCAGCGGTTGCCCGTCTGCGAGTGGAGAAGTATTCACACAATGGCACTGTCGGTGGTGGATGCTTGAGTGTTGACGGACCCGCCGGCGAGCTCACTCGAGGCCCTGCATGAGGATGTGCATCTCGCGAAAAAGGTGGCCCAGCTTGCCCTGCATCGTTTGGCGCTTGAGCAGAAACGACCGGATGGAGAGCAGCTGGTTGTAGCAGCTCATGCACTTGTTGTACCTGTCGGAACGAGAAGAGAAGCGTTCGCGTGATGCTTCACTGCACAGTAAAAAGCGATGATCGCAAATGCCGGCAGTAAAGATGAGCCAGTGTAAAGCTTTCCCATTTTGTGGCTTCGATGGACAACAAAAATAGCACAGAAAAATCAGCTGGGAATGTTGGCAGGCGGCCATAAATTACAACCGAGATTAACACGCATGAGACAAGACAGCCACGGGCGCTGTACGTTTAAATGTGCGTTGCTCTTTTCTTGCTGCCAACACTGTTTGGTCAGCCGCGCGCGCCTGTGCGCGCTTTTAAGCACGTACTCGCCTGAAATCTCATCAGAAGTTTCAGCGAAATCGTCGACAACAGTCTGTCATAAGGGACAAGGAAATGTTCGGGGGCCGTGCCAACCCGTGCCCAAGGCCCGTTCACGGAGCCGAAGTAGCGCCTATGCCGCCATGGCTACCGCCGCGTCGCGTCGAGCAGGTGAAGCCTGTTGGACGCGAAACAGAAGGAGCGCGCGCGAGGGGGCGACAGGCGCTGGAAAACGCGCGGCCCGGCAGAGGAAGCGCGGGGCGGGGAACCAGTGCGGTGCAGCTCGTAGCCTAGTAATGACCGCTGTCCGTCTGTTGGGTAACCTGGGTGTGTTTGGCGAGCTTATGCGTCCCCGCAGGACTTGAATCCTCCGCCTAATTGTACCTCACAGGAGGGCCCCGAGAAACGGCGGCCGTCAGGGCGAGTGGTCGGCGGCGCGATCGCAATCGCAATTAAAATGGCAAGGGACGACGGGAGTTTGCTTTGTTTTCTTCTCCTTTCTCACTGGACGCCGTTTTTCGCCTCCCTATACAGACGCCGTCCGCGGCACCCCTCCCCCTGGTTGGCCCCCAAACTAATGATAACAAATTCGAGCCTCGCGGCGCGGGCCATACATCTCCAGTTTGTATCTGGTTTCCGTTTCGTTCTCCTTCATGAATTTCACAGCTGCCCCCCTCGCTCTCTCTCAGAGACGGCGCGCCGGAACTCCCGCGAGCCACTCCTCTGGCGCACTGCACGATATATTACGTACACGCCCAGTATTACAGTCGGACAATTACGGCGTTTCTTGCCCCTCCCAGACAGAGATTTCACGGCACTCGGCCTGCACGCACGCAGTCGCCGCCCCTCTCCCCGCACGCGCTGTCGCCTCGTTATACCGGCCGCCGAAGCTCCGGGGTCGAAGCCGGTCGCTTCGTCCGGTGCGAACGAATCGACTACGCAGTGGCGCGTTTCATTCGCTGTTTTGGTCACCGCAGCTCTCACCTTTCTTCCCTGGAGATGTCCACTCCCACACCGGGCGGTGCTGTTATGTTCGTCTTGATGATTGAGGCGAAGTTCTTGAGCAGGATGCGAAGACAGGCACAACCGGTTGACATGTACCTGCGCAGGGAGCAGGAAAACACGCTGCATTAACTAAAGAGGCCGTCAACTGCATACCGACCACTCGCGAGACGCACTATGCGTTCACTCCGCCACATGTGTAAGTGTATCGGCAAATTCGCCCCCGTAAAACGTTGACCCACGCCATAAATAAAGCAAAGAAAAAAATCCAGCGACTGATAGTATTTTTAAGATAAATGAAAAGTAAGGAAGAGGCGACATGAAGGTCCGGCGGATTCGGCCTTGCCATTCCCGAGTTGGGTATCGGCGCGAGCGTGCAGTCAGCGACCCGAATAAATCAATGAACCGAGCGATACGCCCGCCACGAAGCAATGCTGCATCATAGAGTGTACAACACCTGGCGCTCCACCCAACCCGCGTTTCACAGGACGTACACACCGGCCGAAGAGCAACTTTCTCCAGGCACGGAGATGACACCGGCCCGTTGCATGCCTTGGCGACTATTTACATAAGAGGGTGTGAGCTTCGGTCATTTTCGATGCGGCACCGGGTCAATCGGGTGCATTCCTCGCATTCCCGGGGCCGCATCGACAGCCTTAATGAACGGCAGCCCGAATATATCGGCGGGCCCCGGCGCATACTGCACGGGAGCCACACCTTCGGGCACGCCACCACTCCCGAACCACGGAGCGATCGCACGCTTCGGCTAACGAAGGTAATTAATGATGCATAAGTGCTCGGGGCCCTAATCTGGAGCCGCACTCTGAGCGAAGGCCACTGCGGCCACGAGGGCTGTGCACGAAGCAGAGGTACGCGACGTGTAACAAACGCCGCAGAGCTTGGTGCGAAGAAGGCGCGAAGTGCGAGCACTTTGCAGACCACATGCACAACGAAAGAAATGCACCCCTTCGACAACAGTGGGTATGCTGCAAACAACGCGCGTCAACGAACAGGGATCGCGGCGGAACACTGCAATGCAGCCAACTCTGAGCGCTATAAATAAATGTGCATGAAACCGCCAAACACGAAACACATTCTTGGACTTCGACTGCGTTCAAGTGGAAACAAAAGAAGCCGTATACTCCCATACCACGAAATACTTCGACAACACAGACTTCGCCAGAGATGGGTGTTGAGAGGTTCAACTTCCTGCCCTCCAAAAAATATTTCAGTTTGCATGTATTTACACAGACGCACATATATAGGGTAGTCGAACACGCCGCCCCATCTCCCCTCTCTCGCCACCCAGAAATAACATCTTGGTTACGTTCGTGTTCGACTATGCATGCATTTAATTTCGCAAATGAGCTGTTATGCAAATATGAGGAATCGATGCACAGTAAAGACAACGCGAGATATTACTGCGTACACATGCAACTGGATGCGGGTTCACCGACAAACAATGCTTGCTCGAGGGTGCACCCGTCGCCAGCAATCTAACCAACAAGTCATAGCCAAACGACCACGGGAGTGAAGATCCCCCCCCCCCCCCCCCCCCGTCAATCCCAGGCTCACAGAAGTGGGCAAGAGTGCATAAGTTGTCGTTGGTGGCTTACGCGGTCGCACCCACGGCTGCGTATACAGGCGCGGCAGTGCGAAAACGATGGCGTGACTCGCGGACGCACAAGTGGGTGGGCTCGAGCTTCGGTGAAGCCATGCAGTTCGAGAAATCTCGCGCCAGATCACAGGTGGTCAGCTCTGCACGTACACGCAGAGTGTGGGCACCGAGGATATACTCCTCTCTGTGTATACCACGGGGAACGGCGAAAGCGCACCCGGCCGAGCCAGCTATGAGTCTGCGCTTTCTGCTATACTTATACGAAGGTAATTTCCGTAAAGCTATATTCTCGTCTGCTCCATTGGTTGAAACCGACGCTGTGGGCCACAGGGAGAACGGACTACACTGATGTGACACGTGTTCTTTTATTGTTTGTTTTTGCCTGACAAGTGTTCGTAATGGAAGATGTACAGCGCAGCTTTGAGTTTGCCGACACGTGATTTGAAGGGCACATGCGGCTAGACCTATACCGCTATACCGGCAGCGCTCAGGGATTCACATGTATACGCATGCACAGCGTAAATTGCAGGGTAAGTTCATCCCTACAGCATTTCAAAGGAGTTTAGAAAACGTTCATATCACAAAAAAATCGCATCTAGATACTGATGCTCTGTAAACGTGAAATTGCAAACGGACGTCTTTTCTACAGCACTATACCAAAATGTTGGATCATATTGAACCCCAGAAAACTTCAGATAAAAAAAGAATTATACCAGATTATATTAACAATTTCTTTCAATAATCCACTTTCGCAGTTAAGATATGAATCCCCATAGAAGATAAAAATACAAGTCGGGCTACCATTTTTTTTTAATATTGCGACGAACCCATGCTAAGAGTCCCAAAGTGGTTTTTGTCCCGTCGCAGAAATTGTCTATAGAACAATTTGTAAAAACTCCGTCTAATCATAGTACTGTTATTAGGGAGAGCCGTTCCACGGAGTTCAGAAAGCAAGCACATGGCGAAACCCTGCTTGCATACGCCGCGTCCGTCTGCGCTGGCACACATCGAAGGAAGAAGCAGCTCCGCGAACGCACTCGCAGACGGGAGCCCGAGAAGGGTCCGCCGCGTGACATTCGGAGCGCGGAGGCCTCCGTTCCAACACGGCTCGCGCCCAGAAATCGCATATATGAAGGGGGCGCATTCGAACTGCAAATGTAATTGCAGGGAGGAGACTCGGATCCCACTCGAGTCGTTTTCCTTTGATTGAGATGAATTATGGCCAACGGGTTTGCCAGGCCACCGAGAAAATCGTATTTCGTGAAGAAGGGGAGGGGGTAATTTGCTTTGTAACGAGCGGCCAGGCCGGCCTGTGTACACGCGCGATCCGAATGGCACCGGAGCGGCGGAGAGCGAGTCCGATCGCAAAACGAGCCGCCCCGCCCCTCCGGAGCCATCAAGTTGTTGACCTTTGAGATGAGCGCACGAAGCCCGACCCGAGACCTTCCCCGAAAGCTGGCAAAACTGAGTCGGGAGACGCTGTTCCAATTACACAATCGGCTCGCACGGTCCGAAAGCGATGCGTCCTCCGCCATTCGGTCGCGCGCGGCAACAGGTAAGTGTATAATCACCGCTCACTCTGCCGCGCGAAGAAAGTGAGGACGACAGCAGCAGTGGGACGCGAGAAATGCACGCGCGCACCGGTAGGTTCGAAGAGAGAGATACAGAATGGCGAGCCAAGCACATCGATATACCAGAAAAGAAAAACGGAGCTGCCGCGCAGCACGAAAGGCGAAACCGTGCGTCGCGAGTAGCGAACAAGGAGCAGAGAGAACTTTTCGCGGGGCGAGGACGCCGCTGCTATAGCCGGTCCCGACGTTAACAACTAATCGAGGGTACAAATGTCAGAAAAAGAGAGCGTAGCCCCGTTTAGAGAGCTGCTTTCCAATGGAGCCGAGTGGCCGGAACGAACTGCCCAGAGGAAGTGCCCGAGGCAAATAGGGCGCGCTACCAACGGCAGCCAGCTATCGGCAGATGCGGCTTCCAGCGAGGTCAAAGGAGGCGCGATAACAAATCGGCTCCATTTCAGACACCCAACGATAACCATCAGATCGCGTTTCCCAAAAAGGGCGGCGCACAGAGAGAGCCGTCACAAAACAAGGAGCCAGGTCGCGCTGGCCGCCACCGGGGAGGCAGACTCCCCACACAAAAAAAGAAGAGGCACGGTGCGCAAGGGAAAAAAAAAGGACTCTCGGAAAGCGGCCGATAGCATCGATCGTTCGTCCCGAAGAAAGTCACAATGGCACCCTTTGAACGGACCGCGCGCTCCAGAGCGATCGGGCGGCGCACCGGGCGGCCGATGCACGCGCTGGGGAAAAAAAAATGTCGGGAGGCGGACGCCGACAGTTGATGTCACACGCACGAACACTTCTTTGTCAGCAGCGCACTGTCGAAGCACCGTGCCGAGGACTCTTTCTCTCGGATAAAGCTGTCCCCGACAAGGAAAACATTCGAGGCACAAACCCGTTCAACTTGGCTACGAAATATGCCAAAGCGGCAGGCATTCGATTGCTCCAATCTGCATCCAAAGCTGCTACAATGATTTGCCATTTTCTTATTCCGCGCAGAATGCGTCCCGCACAAGAAAATTAGTGCAGCGACCAAAAAAATGTCGCCCACCAAATGAATAAGTGAACTTGAGGCTCACTCGTTTTCTGCAGACAAAACGCATTACTAGCACACACAGCAAACGATTATCATATAAGCTGTGAAGGATAGAAATCAAGGGTGGATTGAGTACGCGCTAGCAACAGCAAGCTGCTGGAAGTAAGCCAAGTTAGTGACAAAAAATTGCACGGAACTTTTCTCATTCTTGTGACTCGACAAGTTACTGCAGGGCAACTGATCCAGAATTACATTCGATTAAAATATAGTTTCGCTCAAGGGCCCCTGAAAATGACACGTCGGCAGAGTCGCACGGCGTTTCCACACGTAGTGCTGCGGCGGATGGGTGTCAGCCTGGGCGGCGGGAGTGACTGGCGTCACCGCGGTCGCAAGGCCGCTCCTCCTCTCGTGGCGGGGCGCCTGACGTCTTCATCGGTCGACTCGCGGAACGAATGGCTCGCTCGCCTGTCGACGTCGGACGAACCGTGACCAAGCAGAAAACGAGAGGCACGCCACAATGCGTACCACCGTGTATAGTCTAGGCCCCGTTCTGGTGTGTGAAAAGCAGCGGTGGCAGTGTTCCGTCCGGGGCTCTAGCTTCAACAGTCGTACGCGCGTTAAAGAAGAGAAAAGACGCTCGCAAAGGAGCACACACAAAATGCACGATCAATTGTCTTCGCAATAAAGCGAATGCTGCCACTATAAATGTAGTGCCCATAGTCCCACGATTTCATATGTGTCTTTCACATTAGAAACCAAAAGAAAAAAAAAAAACGTCAGTTTTCTGTCTACATGACGACATTTGAAAGAAGACGTAGCACGCACGTGAGATAATCATATTTGTTTTCTTCATGCATTATCACTTCGCGTTTTTGCA